TGAAAACAAAACGTGTTAGTGACTGTGACTGAGTTCCAAGGAGTCTTATCTTGTACCCAGGGGTGCCCAAGCTGCTGTGCTGTGCTGCAGAACCAGTCCATTAGGCAGCTGGCGTGCCTTCGCAGCAGTCAAAATTAGCTGCTTTCATCTGCATCCCTTTTGTTGTTGTTGTTCACTGTTGTCTCAGAACATTGAATGGGTTTAGGCATCTTGCCCCAGAACAAAGTTGTGATTAGGAAACTGTTTCATAGGCCTTGGATACCAGGCAGTCAGACACAGAACAAAACTTCCCTACTGTGCAGTAATAGCTTAAATTCTCTGTTAACCCACTTGTTTTTCAGTCTGCGAATTCTTTAAATGTTGCATCTTGGAAACCTGGACTTTGGCTCATGTTTTTGCCTGAGACTGATGTAACACTTAATTCTTTGTTTATTTAGGGTACTGCGGGGCTGATATAAAATCTTTGTGTGCTGAGGCTGCTCTCTGTGCCCTCCGCCGATGCTATCCTATGATCTACTCAAGTAATGAGAAATTGCAACTGGACGCCAATTCTATTAAAATAAAAGCAGAAGATTTTATGATGGCTCTGCAAAAAACTGTTCCGGCATCACAGAGGGCTGTGCCATCACCGGGCCAAGCACTGTCACCTATTATGGCACCACTTCTAGGAAATACACTCTTGAGAATCTTACAAGCCCTACAAAGGGTATTTCCTCATGCAGAGCTTGCACTGAAGAAGGACCAGATCCACCCGAGAGTGCTGAGGGAACTGGCGGAGGTGATAGCCGAGCCGCTTTCCATCATCTGTCAACGCTCCTTGTTGACTGGTGAGGTCCCAGAAGACTGGAGGCTTGCCAATGTGACTCCCATTTATAAGAAAGGTCGTAAGGAGGATCCGGGGAACTACAGGCCTGTTAGCCTGACCTCGGTGCCAGGGAAGGTTATGGAGCAGATTGTCTTGAGGGAGATCATGCGGCATGTGCAGGGTGACCGGGGGATCAGGCCTAGCCAGCATGGGTTCGTGAAGGGCAGGGCCTGCTTGACCAACCTGATCTCCTTCTATGATCTAGTGACCCGTCTGGTGGATGAGGGAAAGGCTGTTGATGTGGTCTACCTAGACTTCAGCAAAGCCTTTGACACTGTCTCCCACAGCATTCTCCTGCAGAAGCTGGCAGCCCAAGGCTTGGATGGGTACGCTCTTGGCTAGGTAAGGAGCTGGCTGGAGGGCCGGGCTCAGAGAGTGGTGGTGAATGGAGCTAAATCCAGCTGGTGACCAGTGATGAGTGGTGTTCCCCAGGGGTCGGTGCTGGGGCCTGTCTTCTTCAATATCTTTATTGATGACCTCGATGAGGGCATCGAGTGCACCCTCAGTAAATTCGCAGATGACACCAAATTGGCTGGAAGTGTGGATCTGCCTGGGGGTAGCGAGGCCCTACAGAGGGATCTGGACAGGCTGGAGAGCTGGGCTGAAGCCAATGGGATGAGTTTCAACAAGGCCAAATGCCGGGTCCTGCACTTCAGCCACAACAACCCCAGGCGACGCTACAGGCTTGGGGCGGAGTGGCTGGAGGACTGCGTAGAGGAAATGGACCTGGGGGTATTGATTGATGCTCGGCTGAACATGAGCCGACAGTGTGCCCAGGTGGCCAAGAAGGCCAATGGCATCCTGGCTTGCATCAGAAACAGCGTTGCAAACAGGAGCAGAGAGGTGATTGTTACCCTGTATTCAGCACTGGTGAGGCCGCACCTTGAGTACTGTGTCCAGTTTTGGGCCCCTCACTGCAAGAAAGATATTGAGGCCCTGGAACGTGTTCAAAGGAGGGCAACAAAGCTGTTGAGGGGTCTGGAACACAGGCCGTATGAGGAGAGGCTGAAGGAGCTGGGAATGTTGAGCCTGGAGAAGAGGAGGCTCAGGGGAGACCTCATTGCTCTCTATAACTTCCTGAAGGGAGGTTGTAGTGAGCTGGGGGTCGGCCTCTTCTCTCGTGTCATGAGTGATAGGACCAGAGGGAATGGCTTCAAGCTGTGGCAGGGGAGATTCAGGCTGGACATGAGGAAGTATTACTTTTCAGAAAGGGTGGTCAGGCACTGGAATGGATGCCCAGGGAGGTGGTGGAGTCACCGAGCCTGGGGGTGTTCAAGGAAAGGCTGGATGTTGTGTTGAGGGACATGGTTTAGTGGGAGCTATTGGGAATAGGTGAACGGTTGGACTGGATGATCTTTTAGGTCTTTTCCAACCTTGGTGATTCTATGATTCTATGAACTCTGTCATCTTACCAGCAGTTTCAATGCAAGGGTATGAAGGAGGAGGTTTCTGCCATTTCCCATTTGCATCCTTCATATGAGATCTGTCTGAAGCAAATGTCTTCAAGTACAAATCTGCTCGAATCATTCTGATCTTCCTAAACAATAATAATGAAAAACATCAAACAAATAAATAAATAATAAATATTAAAATGGTGAAAAATTGTATCAAATGATGTGTGCATGTAATACCACTGTCACATATTTGTTAGTCATAGTTATTAATTAGGCATTCTGAATAAGAGCGCTTCTTCCTCTTGAACAGCATTAATTTAGTTAAACACTTAACTCACAAACATTGTGCCAAGCAGCAAACTAGCTCCCAAGAAACTAGAGCAGGGAAGAGAAGGGCTTACGATAACTAAAAGATGGCAACCCCTAGGTAAAGAGCTTTAGAGACATAACGCAGTGCATTTAGCTTCCTGAAATACAGCAGAAACTTCTGTCACTGTCTATCCACAGACAGAACTTCAACTTAAGTCTCCAGGAAATACCATCCGTGGTCTTTATTTTTGTTGTCAGCACCTGTGAAATTCTGGATGAAGGCTGTCATCCGGCCTAAAGGCCTCCGCGCTGTACATCTCAAAAGGACACGGAAATGGCAACGCAGTGTAAGGTCATAAACGAAGTTCTGCTCTCCACCCGGAACGTGAAGTAGGATAACATGGTAGTCCTGAGAAGAAGAATTTCATCGTTTAAACAGCTGTTTATCAGAAACTGAAAGAGAGAGGGGAAAAAAAAAATTGTCCTAAAAGCAGAAGCTACAGCTCCTTTCCTTTACATCATTTCTGTCCTTGAAATTTAGGCCCAGACATCTCTGTCACCAGAAGAGAGGATTCCTAATGGCACCTCACCCTTGTTACTCTTCAGTAAACCTTGGTATTCTTCCCATTTCTTTACGGTCTCCTTTGATTTAAGCCTGGACAGCCAAACTAAAGCTAAACTATTCCTTATACCAGCTATTTTATTCCTTAACACATAAGTAACACAGGCACGGCAGAAGCTTAGAGAAACTGGAGTTATTTACCTTGTTCATTACACTGCAGCTTTCCAAAGCTAAACTGAAGGTAGTTGGCAGTTTACTACAGAGAACACTAAATCCACTCACAAAAAGTTTGCAGCTCTGTCTTTTGACACTCGAGCACAACCCTAAGCAAAGAAGACTGAGAAATGAATGAATAAGATCTCGGGCAAGCTATTTTCACAGACCAATTTGCCTATGCAACTCTATGCAAAAACAACATTTAGAAAAGTCTGTTACAAAGTACATGAAAAAATTAACTACGAGCTTTACAAAAACTCCATCTGAGCTCAGGCTGATTTGGGCTGCTGCCCGGTTCAGCGATCAACCCTCCTTTTTAAAAGACAAGCTTTTATAAGCAAATGCTAGTGCCAGCTATTTCTTCCCTGCATAACATGGGCTGTGTAAGATCTAAGATTTCTGTAGCCAGAAAGCTTCACTCTTTCTACGTTTAAAGTCCCATGCGAATCACTTTTTAGTAAGTACTGGGGAATTTATTCTTCTAGGGTTCATCTCAACCTGTGTCGAGAGAGACATCCACTCAGCAATATGGAGGAGTTACACAAGTCTGAGACTAAACCCATCAACTCTC